GCCGCACATTCGCTGCTAGTAAGCCCTGGTGGATATATGGAGTTAGGGTTGCTAAATCAGTTGAATCAAAGGATGGGGTGGAATGGGATGACCATTCCTCAATCTCCAGGGCTCAGAAATGAGACATTTGCTGCTCCCGGGAAGCGGAGAAACCCTTTTTCTTCCTTGCAAGCCTCCGTCTTCCCTGGCTCAGAGGATGGTGGGGGCAAAAAGGAGGCGGGAGAACGAAAGTTCCCCAAACCTTATTTTCAGCCTCAGCTCCACTGCCTGCTGCTTATATTTTTCTAGGGCTCTTTTTCTGTGTGGTCAGGGAGGGAAATAGGGGCACCCCTTGATGCGTTTATACAGATCATTTGCTTCTCCTCAGAGTGTTCTGTCCATCTGTCATGGGTGCTTTGGTTCAGATTCCTGCATTGCAGGGGGTTGGACTAGAGAACCCTCAGGATCCCATTCTAACTCTACAATTCAGCACACGTGCACAAAACATTTTAATGACATTTTGGTTATTTATCTTGGGAGGCAAGTGCCACATGCTTCTTCTTCTTCAGGCACTGTCTTCTAAGTGTGTTTTGCAGAGGGCACAACTGCCCTTCCAGAAGGGACCTGCTCTATAGATGAATAAATTAGGCATAAGGCTCCGCATCTCCTGCTTCCTTATTGCAGGCATTCAGCTGTTTCCTCTCCTTCACATTATGCAAATCAGATTTCTGAGCTACCCCTTCTCTTTGTAAATTTAACTACTGAGAAGATGCAGCGAAGGCAGTAGGAAGCGATTGGCCTCCGTGTGGAGTGAGAACCCATAAGAGCTGTAAAACCGCTTGTGGAGAAGTGGAATACAAATAAACAGATGACGACAATGATGAGTTGACCCCACTGGGATCTGGGCTGGAACCACAACGTTTTAGAGGCCAGGAAACAATTTTTCCAGAATGTTTTCTGGGCCTGCTCTTCTTTATTTATTTAAATTTACCTACTGCCCTTCTTCTGAGGATCACAGGACGGTTTACAGTATAAAAATACACAACATAATAACAAAGAAAATGATGTCCAACCAGTCCAGTTTAAAAGGCCATAGGTTCCTTGATTAGCCAAAGGCCTGGGAGAAGAGGAATGTTTTTGCTCGGCACCTGAAAATATGTAGTGAAGGCTTCTTCTTCTTTGGCAATCGCTTGTATCCGAGTAAGATTGTCTTCCATGAACACAGTCTTAACAGGGAGTCTGTAAGTGACTGTGGAGGCCAATTCTGGACCAAATGTCCTTCCACAGTGGGGACATTGGTTTCTGGGTGGGAGCTGATCATGGTGAGGGTTTGCCAAGCACGTTTCTCCCTTTCATCCTGAGTTCGAGCGTCTTCAAAGCCCATGACACCTTGGGTAAAGGCTGTTCTCCAATTGGAGCGCTCGCAGGCCAGTGTTTACCAGTTGTTGGTGTTTATACTACATTTTTTTAGATTTGCTTTGAGAGAGTCTTTAAACCTCTTTTGTTGACCACCAGCATTACTCTTTCTATTTTTAAGTTTGGAATAGAGTAGTTGCTTTGGAAGACGATCATCAGGCATCTGAACAATGTGACTAGTCCAACGAAATTGATGTTGAGGAATCATTGCTTTCAATACTGTAACGAAGGCACCAGATGGTTCACAACGCAAGATTACAAAATATGAGCACAAAATGCATAACAAACGAACAAATGAAAGCAAACCAATAACTCCCCTCCCTTTCCAGTTGTGGAAAGAACTCTTGTGCTTGGATATTCTTTACAGGTTTCCCACAAACCTCTGGTTGTCCCCTGTAAGAATAGGATGCTGGACCAGATGAGTCAATGGCTTGACCCAGCAGGCTTTCCTTCTTATGTTCTGAATCCTGCTTGCTGTCTCCCTTACCCCACCCCAAGGGCCAACTTTTACAGGGGTGGGACCCACACACCTTTCAGTCACCTGGCACCATTCTGCTGATTGGCAGCTAGGTGGTCCTGCAGGAAGATCTGGTCTGCTGGGAAGAAGGGTCCCTCCCAACCCCTGCCCTAGTGGATGTAGAGAAGCAATACCATGCCCTCCAACATTTATCCAATGATAACAGGGGCATCCTATTCAATAATACTTATTATTATTATTATTGCCCTTGAGACTGACCCAGAAACTCCAGCAGGTGCAGAATGCTGCGGCGAGACTCCTTATGGGGTCCTCACTGCGAGATCACATTCCTCCGGTGCTATACCAGCTGCACTGGCTCCCGGTGGAGTACAGGATCAGGTTTAAGGTGCTGGTTTTAACCTTTAAAGCCCTATACGGCCTAGGACCCTCGTACCTATGGGACCGCCTCTCCTGGTATGTCCCACAGAAGAACTTACAGTCTGCAAATAAAAACATCCTGAAGATCCCAGGCCACAGAGAGGTTAGGCTGGCCTCAACTAGAGCCAGGGCTTTCGGCCGCGGCTCCAATCTGGTGGAACGCTCTGTCACAAGAGACTAGGGCCCTGTGGGACCTGACATCTTTCCGCAGGGCCTGTAAGACAGAGCTGTTCCACCAGGCCTTTGGTCAGCGCGCAGCCTGACCCCCTCCTCTGGCAATCTGCACAGAATTTTGCTTAATGGTTGCCATCAATTTGATTTTAATTAATTTTTATAATGAAAGGTTTTTAGAATGTTGGATTATTTTGATTGTTGTTAGCCGCCCTGAGCCCAGCTTTGGCTGGGGAGGGCGGGGAATAAATAAAATTTTTATTATTATTATTATTATTATTATTATTATTATTATTATTATTTAATTTATTTATTTATACTATGCCCATCTGACTGGGTTGCTCCAGCCTCTCTAGGCAGCTTCCAACATATATGAAAACATAATCAAATGTTAAACATTAAAACACTTCCCTATACAGGGCTGCCTTCAGATGTCTTCTAAAGGTTGTATTGTTCCTTATCACCTTGACTCAAGGGTCGCATAACTCCATACCCTCCAACATTCCTCCAATGAAAATATTTATTATTTATTTTATTTATTGAACTTATATACCGCCCTATACCTGGGGGTCTCAGGGCAGTTCACAGCATGAAATGAAGACATAAAACCACAAAATACATAATTAATTACATAATAAAAATAAAATACATAATAAAAATAAAAACAACAACCCAATAGGCCCCACCAAAAACCTGGTCAACCAAAAGCCTTGTTAAAAAGGAACGTTTTTGCCTGGTGCCTAAAGGTGTATCATGAAGGTGCCTGGCAAACTTCCCTGGGGAGAGCATTCCACAGATGGGGAGCCACTGCAGAGAAGGCCTGTCCTCATGTTGCTACCCTCCGGACCTCTCGAGGAGGAGGCACCCAAAGGAGGGCCTCAGAAGATGATCTCAGGGTCTGGGTAGGTTCATATGGAAAGAGGTGGTTTTTGAGGTATTGTGGTATCAAATGAGAAACTGGGACAGCTTCTGTAAATCCGGGACTGTCCCTGGAAAATAGGGTCACTTGAAGGGTCTGCAATACAGACTGGGGAGAGGACAATAGCAATAGCAGAAGGGGAATGGGGAAAAGTGGAAGGGTTGATATTTCTGAGAGAGGGTAAAAGCAGAGAGGTGGCATCCTTGGAAAGAGGCTGCCTTTGCCAAGCCCCTCCATGCTCACCTGGCTCAACGCAGCCGCAACATTTGCAAACTCTTGGCGGCTCATGCTCCCGGCTGTTGACTCATCAAAAGCTCCTTAACTCTCTGCCTGGCTGTTTGTTCTTCAGCTGTTTCCCACGTCGCTTTCCCAGGTTGCGGCCGATAAGGCTCGTTTGTTGGCTCCTGACCCGTTGGGGACACGTCAAAGAGAAACACACAGGCGCACGCAAGGAACAAAGGGCCCTTAGCCCTGGCAACAGATGCCAGGAGCACAGGAGGGAGGAGGGAGGGAGTGTCAACATCAGAAGGTGCTCAGGAAGCTGCAGCCGGTGGGAAGGTGACTGTGTTGGGTGGCGTGGCAACTCTTGGAGGTCACAGATATAGCTGCATTAGAGCTCCTGTGCTGTGGGGAAGGAGAAGGGCGAGTTGGATTCAGGTCCCCTGAAAAGGACGCTGGGTTTGCTGCTGTTGCAATGAAGATCTGCCACTTTAGACACACGTTTACCTGTTGTTTGATTGCTAGGGAATAGGATGATGATTATAGGAGCCAACTCCTAGGGGCAGGGGCCCTTTCAGCTGTTAGAATTCCTGCTCCATGACTGCAGTCATGGGATTGTTGTCTATCACATGACGGTGTATGTTTTGACTCCACAGAGTGGGAAGTGATGGAGACAGGATGTTTGTGTTCCTGTGTTCCGTGAAGTGGGACTATTGTCCTTTGTTCTTTTTCTCTTTGCTGTCTGATGCTAGAGAGAGAGGGAGCCATGTTGCAGTGCTCCGTGTGTGTTTATACGTAAATAAAGTAGATTAGCCAAAATGCTGAGTTGCTGAAGTCTGTCACGCGAACTGTGCAAACGCTGTGTGCCGATGTCTGTTGGCTGTGATGTTCGGGCTGAAGAAAGCTTTTGAAGCTCCCGAATGATCGACCAGGAGGGAGAGAACATGCCAGTCGGGGATGTGTCTCTGCCAGGGTCCTAATCGTGACATCAGCCCCCCCTAAAATATTTGAGGGGGCCAGGGGCCCCCCAAAGTCAATGAGCATTGCCATTCAAATGGTCCACATGTACCATGTCTTGTGATCTATTATGCGGGGCAGAGCTTAGCTGGTACCCTTTAATATTTTATTCAAGTTGGCACCCCTGGTGTTGACGATGATGCAGTGTCAAATGTCCTAGCTTCTACCATGGAACATCCCCCTCTCTTTCCCCCATGCAGCCCACACCATACCCAAAGGATGGAGGCTTGGGGGAACCCATAGAACACATTTATGGGGGGAGTTCCACTGGGCAAGTGCAAATCCTTGCGCTAATGGGACGAGGGACTTAGAATCATAGGACTGTAGAGTTGGAAGGGACCCCGAGGGTCTTCTAGTACAACCCCATGATGTGCAGGAATCTTTTGCCCATTGTGGGCTTCGAACCCACGACCCTGAGATCAAGAGTCTCATGCTCAACCAACTAAGCCATTGTTGCTACTTCATTGTTGTTGCTATTCCAAGACTTGTAATTGTATCTCATTAATACTGTTATGTGTTTGGGGCAAGGGACGAAGCAAAGAAGCATAGAATTGTAAAGTTGGAAGGGACACCAAGGGTCATCTAGTCCAACCCCCTGCAATGCAGGGATCTCAACTAAAGCATCCATGACACATGGCCACCCAATCTCTGCTTAAAAACCTCCAAGGAAGGAGAGCCCTAAAGGAGTGGTGACTTTTAAAGCCCTAAATGGCCTCGGCCCAGTATACCTGAAGGAGCATCTCCACCTCCATCGAAGGTCCAGCGCCGAGGGCCTTCTGGTGGTTCCCTTGCTGAGAGAAGCCCAGTTACAGGGAACCAGGCAGAGGGCCTTCTCGGTAGTGGCACCCGCCCTGTGGAACACCCTCCCACCAGATGTCAAAGAGAAAAACAACGACCAGACTTTTAGAAGACATCTGAAGGCAGCCCTGTTTAGGGAAGCTGTTAATGCTTAATAGGTTATTGTATTTTAGTGTTCTGTTGGAAGCCGCCCAGAGTGGCTGGGGAAACCCAGCCAGATGGGCGGGGTATAAATAATAAATTATTGTTGTTATTAACCTCCCGAGAGAGTACATTCTACCATCGTACAGATCTTACTGCCAGAAAAAAAAACCAGTTTTGGTAAAATAAAGTTACAAACAACTGTTTCAAATATTCAAGAATATTTAAATCGGCCACAAACTCAGAACAGACTAAAACACACATCCACATTCTACATATCAAGGTAGGCTTGTCTAAGCAAAAATGTTCTTAGCAGCTGCTGAACAGAGAACAGTGATGGCGTCTGCCTCATCTGAATAAGCAGGGAGTTCCAAAGTTCCCCTAAAAGACTGAGTTCTTACAAATGGGTAATGGGTATTATGTGGCACCCATAAGAGTGCTAGTTCTGCCGATCGAAGCTTCTGAGTGAACATATATGGGGTAAGGCAATCTTGTCGGCAAACTGGTCCTATGTTGTTAAGGGTTTTTATATACTAATAGCCCAATACACGTGTTGTTCCTAATGGGGTGCTGGGCAGGATCCCATTGCAGTCTGCCCAACGGCACTTTCTGCAGCCAAACGCCCCCAGATCATTTGCAGTCTCCCGCCCTGGGCCTGGCGATACGGTACCAGGGGATTAATCACTGCACGCCGTCGTATGCAACGATGCTCTTGATAGGCAATGATTGGGCCTGACGGGCAGAAATTGAACAGGCGAAGCTTTCCCCAGCACGGCGGGGGTTAGAAGTAACTGCAGAACGCGAGATATAAGTAAATCAATGCAATGAAATATGTAAGACCTACTAGGCGAGAGAGAGGCTGCAGGCAGTGCCTGTTGGCGGCGGCGGGGTGGGGATGGGGGACCCAGTTGCCAGAGGATTGCTGCAACAAGAGCAGTCCGTGATCATGTGGGGCCAGCCTTTGTACTTAACGGCCTCTCCTGTGGCTAGCAGAATAATTTGCAGATAGCAAATGCCTACAAAAATAGCTGAATTGGCATCATTTATGCAGGTTGCAAGGTTCAGTTCTAAACCCCCCCCCCCCTTTATCAGGGACAACAGTCCCAACTTCTGCTACCTGCTCCCAGGTAAAACAACATCCCTGTTTTTATCCCTATGCTGCCTTTGGAGAAGATTTTATTATTTAAAATAAGATTTTATTAAGAACTTTCATAATACAATGCAATAAGAAACACACTAATCTAAACAAGACAAGGAGAGAGAGAGAGAGAGAGAGAGAGAGAGAGAGAGAAATAAGAATGCAAAGTCCTTTCTCATAGGTAAATCTTAACTTGTCCCACACAAAAAGAGATTCCCTTTCTCCTCCCAGCCTCCCACCCTGGGAGAACTTCTCTTCCCTGTCTCTGACACAGGGTCCTTTGCCAGAAAGGCATCACCTTCATCTGCATAAGTTCCCTCATTGAGTCAGAGTGAGGACATTAATAATAATAATAATAATAATAATAATCAGAAACAAGAGCAAAGGAAAGAAAGGAAAAATAATAAAATTAATAAAGGAGTAAATAATAATAATAAAGGGGGGAGAGAAAGTTAAAGAAATGAGTAAAAAGGACTTCCAACTTTCCATCTGTTACATTATATACACAAGAGTTTATAGAACCATAGAACTGGAAGGGACCCTGAGGATCCTCTGGTCTGACCCCCTGCAAGGCGGGAATATGCAGCTGTTCCATATGGGGATCGAACCTGCAACCTTGGTGTTCTCAGCACCACGCTCTAACCAACTGAGCCATCCAGTGGAATATGACAGTTCTTCAAAATATTCAAATATTCACTCCAGGTCTATAGTATCCAGCTCTTTCTCCCTCTCCTAGATGATGTCCTTGCAGTCCAGGCATCTCAAGTTTATTCATTTTTCCTTATTTTGGAGAAGATTTTGATGATCACACACACACACACACACACACACACACATACACAGCATGCGGGTCGAGCTCAAAGCAGCTTTGTCGAATGTCAACGAGACCACATCTCTTTTTATGCCACAATTGATATTGCAAGCCTCCCAGCTCCTCCTCTGGCAGGGTTGAAGACCCACAAGCCATCCAGGGACTGGGTATGCAGCTACCACCAGTGTTGAAGCAAGACCCAACTTGCCACTGGGCATGCGGGTGCCACCATGCCTTTGCATCAGGCAGCAAACTGTCTTGGGCTGGCCCCAGGCTGCCTAAGCTCCCTTTCTTTACATGTGTTGGAAGTTTGGGTGCAACTCAGCTTGCATGGGGTTAAGAAAAATTCTCAGGCTACCTTTGTGCCTTGGACATCTTTGCTCACCTGCCTATCTCTTTAAAGTGTAGACTGAGACACGCTAGGTTGCATCTTGTCTGCAACTTCCTCCTCCTCCTCCAACTTCTCTCTTGAACCTCAAGATGAGAAAGGTCACCTCGGATCTCTCCCCTGAGAACAAAGGGGCAATCCCAGCTTCCTTTAACTTTTCTAGATTAGTATGGTTATGACTGGAAGCTTTCTTCTATCCAAGTTCAGCACTTCCTGCAATAAAGCCTTTTATTATTTTCTTCCTGCATCTCTCTGTGTCTGCGTGATTGCAACAGGTAAAGTCTGCTCTCCGGCCAAATGCACAAGCCGGACGCTGCACACTTTGCATGCCAAAGAGCTCCAATAGCTTACGGAGCTTGGTTTCGATCATATGGCCCTGGGGTTTTTGTCACGGCATCTGTCTTCTACCTGCCATTGGCTAAAGCCCGTCTGGCAGAGTCCTGGCCGCCAACATGAAAGTGTTCCAGGAGCTCTTTATCCAAATCCCCATTCAAAGTGTTTGCCGCAGCCACTCAGAATTTATCTCCAGTCACAAGGACAACAAAGAGCCGCACTGGGGCATGGGCAGGGGGGCAGTTTCCCCCTCTGCAGGCCTGTCTGCCCCCAGGAAGGGGGTCAGCTTAGTGGGGATGCTGTGGTTCTGTCTCTGTGTGTGTCTGGGAGTGGGGAGAGAATATATAGACTAGTTTCTGGGAGGCTAGAAGCAACTGCAACAACTGGAGGCACAGCCCAGAAAGCTGCTGCTGGTGGGCTTCAGGGCAATAATTTGATGCCAGAAAGCCACTTCCACCCTTGAAGGAGGTGGATTTGTGGGCTTCATGACCCCACCACATGCGCGGCGGCTGGAGCAGCGCGATTGGGAGGATTCCCGGCCGCGTCATCCCCTGGCCAGCCAATAGGCTGGCTCTGGGGGCGTGGCCTACCCTACTTAAGGCAGGAAGTGGCTGGGGATCTCCCTCTTTCCCCGCCTGCCAGCTGTTCCTGCTTTTCCCACCCTCCCACCTTATAAGGTGTTCGTTCCTTGACCTTGCTATGGACCTTGGTTGGTCGCTGTTGAGGGGCCTTGTAGGAATTTTTCCACTTGGCAAATTGGAACCAGCCACTTGGTTTTCGCCTACCTCGTAGCAAATCATCACAACCTTCTTGGTATTGGCAGTTAAGCATTGGTATTGTTCTGTAGTTGGAAGAGGGGAGGAAGCGCCATCACTGCCCTGCATATTGAAGGGTAGTCCGATAAAGGATCCCAGGGGGCGTGGCCCTGTCCGAAGCCTATGGAGGTGAGGGCCTAAGGCACGCCCCCTATTGGTGACCCCGGGGAGTTCCTAGTTGATGTGCATCAGCAGGACTCCCCCTAGTGGTGGTTAACTCTTCCCAGACTTCAAGCAGACGGGCTGAAGTCGGATATAGTCGGTTAGGACCAATGCTTAAGCCAATACTGCTCATCACCTGTAACCAATAAAGTTGTGGCCTTATTTTGCCCATTAACCTTAATAATTGTGTCATGTGTCTTTATTTCCACTGGGTTGGGGGGGACGACTCACCACGCAAGATTATATAAGAAGAAACAAATGCCCTGGCCTTGTTCAGGGGTGGCAGAGACTCCTGGTTTCTTTTCCAAGGCAGCTACGGGTTCTCCTAGTCTTTGCACATGTTGTGATTGACAATTCCCCCAACCCAAGATCTGGCAGGGCTTGGCACTTTGTCTTGATACGGAAAACAGGATTTTTTTCTGTATCAGCCTTCTGGTTGGAAATGTTGACACCTCTCTGCTGCAGGCCGTATCCCATGCAGGGGCAAAGTCTCTCCTTTGTGAGTGAAGCCACAAGGTGAAGGCTGCCATGAGGTCCCGCTCTGCCCCTGCTAGATTCCTTCCAGCTGCACAGACCCGTCCCAGGGCCCCCACTTTATCTCCTAGTTACACAAGCTGGCTGGAGATAGGGCACCGTCTGTCTGCTGCCGCCAACGATTGAGGCAGCGATTAGCATGTGGCCCACAGCCCAAGGACCGTGTGCTTGATCTGGAGTGTCCTTCGACGCTGCTGGGGCCAACCCACGGCTGGGTGAGGGGAGGACCTGGGGCCATCAAAGATGCTTCGGCATCTAGGGAATGATTCGGTGCAGCCTAGTGGCTAAAAATGACCTATCTGGAGGTTCTGTGCACACAGAGAGGTGACTTATAGGA